TCCATTAGCTGTGAGTAGAATGGAGTTCATCGTTGGCTCTTATAAGGATCCTATGGACTTGAGCAGTTTGTGTAATTCAGTGTTATTTCTTACAGAGAGTGGAGAGAGGAACAGAGGAAGGGATTACTATCCTAACATTTCCTTCTGGAATAACATAAGAATCACTGAATTATTTTTGATACTCTATCTGTGATGCTAGAATTGGATAAATAACAATGCTAGTTATGCCCAGCCGGTGCGGCTCAGTGGTTGAGCATTGACCTATGAACCAGGAGATCACAGTTTGATTTCAGGGACCACTTATACTCATTAAATTCTCCCTTTAAATACATTTATTCCAGGTTTTCAGAATCTACCTTATCTGATTTATATTTTCTCAACTATAAAAATATTTTTATTGATTTCAGAGAGAGAGAGGGAGAGAGATAGAAACATTAATGATGAGAGAGAATCTTTGATTGGCTGCCTCCTGCACACCCTCTACTGGGGATCCAGCCACCAACCTGGGCATGTGCCCTGACCAGGAATCAAACTGTGACCTCCTGGTTCATAGGTGGACGCTCAACCACTGAGCCACGCTGGCCGGGTGTGGTCCTTGATTTCTTAAGTCTTATCTAAAAATACACTGGCTGCTCCGCAGACTAAGGGCCAAAAAGGTGGGGTTTTGTTTGATTGGTTGGAGTTTTTGTTTGTTTTATATTTTTACCTTCCTAGCACATCTCAGAATTCTTTATTTTTATTTTTTCAAATTCAAGATCTGTATTTTTAAGGGTGAGTATTATATATATATATACTGTGCTTTTTGATTTTTTTTTTTTTTGTCATTCCGTCTGTACCTAAGCACTGCAGTTTTAGTTACATATTTCCAAACAGTGTAACGGCTTATTTCCAGGCATGGTTTGACAAAGGGAAAGAATATTAGAAATTGAGACCCTCCTAAAAAGTCTAGGATGTATAAGTTCCTCACCAAAGCATTAGTGCCATTATTAGTAATGGTCAATGTGACTATTAAGAATGTTTGATGGACCATCAGCTGCCTCTTTCCTATAAGTGAGCTTAAGAACCGGGCCTTTGCAGGAGTTCCACTGTTAGATTTTTCTCTCTGGTCCTTAGCTCTAACTTCTCTTTACAGAAGAGGTAGAATCAGGGCACAAAAATATAAGAACAAGATAACCTGTATTTTTCTGCAATATTTCAATGGGATTTCAAGAACTATTTCACATTTGAAATCTGAACACGATTCAACTAAAATATGGTTTGGATTTTATTTTTTGTTAGTAAACAAAATAAATTTGTATCTACTTATGTATGATGTATGATTTATTCACATGCATTATCTGTGTAATATATATGTATATGTGTGTGTGTATATATATGTATGCATGTGAATAAATCATATATATATGAATCATTAGTTTTTAAACCACAATTAGAGACTGTATTTCTAATGAACTAGTTTTCTAGTTAAAAATAAGGGCAAATAAATCCCATTTACCCATATATACTAATGTTTATAAAACGCCACATGATGAATATTTTTAGAAGCAATCTCTTAAGAACCCAAATTAGAAAACTTAAATAAAGCACAGTCCTTCTAAAATGGGGCTGTGACTTGGGAACTGCTCCTCCCCCAATCATTTAAACTAGTTAAATAGTTATAGTCTGCTTCAAGAGAATTGGATGGTTCTTACCAATTTTACATTATTTTAACATTTATTTGAATGCTTCCTGTGTGCCAGAGACTGCTATACACTTTACATGTGTCATTTCACTTGTTGGTCATAGAAACGACGGATGAAAGCAGCAGTGTCCCTTACAGGAAAGAAAACTGAGATTGGGGCGGGGGGGGGGGGGGGGGGGGGGGGTGTTTTGCCTAAGGTCACGCTGCAAGTGTGTGACCTGGACTTGAACTTCACAGCCTTGCTTCTTAACCACTATTGCGAAATCAGAGACTGAAATCTTCCTTTATTGCTTAACTATACCTGGACGGAAGGAGCTGCTAACTCTGCTAGTTAATTCTTGCTGGGAAGAGAAGCACTGACCAGCTGCGGAAACCACAGCAAGGAAACCAAAAATGAAAGTACCCAAGTGGGCTGGAGGACTTGGAAGAGGGAGACCTGAGTTTGCACTTGGCTCAGTTACTTAGCTCCTATCACTTTCTCCGGAAAGCCTGTCCCTACCTCCTCCTCCTCTTGTTTGTCTCTATTAGAATGCTGAACTCGCTGCAATAATCACCATCTTGGAATGATTCTAAGGCGCACATCATTTTTATTTTAAGTAGAATCCTTATGCATCTTATCGTAAAATTAATTGGCAGCATTCCTCCTTAATTATTGGCGCCTAAAATAAGGATGTGACTTATGGTGGCATGTTAGATTTGACCAAATGCAGTACAGTGGGGCCTTGACTTACGAGTTTAATTTGTTCCAAGACTGAGCTCGTTAAGGAGCTCGTTAGGGAGCTCGTTAACTCAAATTACTCTGTCAACTCAATGCAAAAAATAGTCGGGACACTCGTAAGTCAGGGCCCCACTGTATTTGTTTTACATGTGTTCCCAAGAAAATGTTTACATCTTCCCCATGGTTTTAAATACCAGGTATAGACAATGATTTTCCAGTTTCTAGCCCAGTATTGTTTTATGCTCCAGTCCTATAAAATTTCCCTTGCTGTCTCCGGGGTCACAGATTCTATGTCTACTTTCCAAGTCAGCTTGTCTTCTAGTGTTCCCTCACCTCAGAAAACGGCATCTACATTAGTACATTTGTGAACTAAAAAGCCACAAGTTCGGCCTCCAGGGTTTGAATCCCAGTTCCACCCCGTACAGACCGGTGTTGTGAACACAGGGTGGAGGGAGTCACCGTGCTCCTCATCTGTAACGTGGGGAGCCTTATCACCCTACCTCTGAGGATTGATCGTGAGGACAACAAAACATCGAGTGCATGCTAGCTGCCCCTGACCGTCATATGTATCTGTGACCTCTCTGCTTACTCTGCACATGTAATTAATTCATCATCACACCCTCTGGTAGGTAGGCCCTTCAGAGTATCTCAGATCCCTCCACTTGTTGCCACTTCTCCAGTCCAAGCCCCTATTTTTCTTGCCTGTAGTAGCTAATCTTGTAGCTTCTACTCTTTCCCGTCTCTAATCCATTCAGGTACTTAGACCGCTAGAGCCATCTTTTAAATCAGATCATGCCATTGCTTAAAACCCTTCCCAATGCACTGGTATAAAACCCCAAGTACTTAACATGGGTATACTGTTCTCAGTTTTATACCTGGCCTCTGCCTACTTTCAGCCTCATTTTATGCCACTCTACCTCATTTCTCCCAAAACTCCCACTCGGTTAGATTTCAGCTTAGGTCCCTCTTCCTTGATCTTCCAAATTAAATTAGGTTCTTCCGTCCTAATGTATAGTTCTTTTTTAAAAAAAAAAAAATGTTTATTTTATCTTATTTCAGAGAGGAAGGGAGAGGGAGAGAGAGGTAAAAACATCAATGATGAGAGAGAATCATTGATTGGCTGCCACCTGCAAGCCCTACTGGGAATCAAGCTCACAACCCGGGCATGTGCCCTGACCGGGAATCAAACCGTGACCTCCTGGTTCATAGGTGGATGCTCAACCACTGAGCCGCGCCGGCTGGGCATAACGCATAGTTCTTTATAATGTATATATGCTTTCTGTACTTGGGGGTGATCAGTTCCTCCCCAACTGAAGGTAAGGGAATGAGGTGATTTCTCCAAGGTCATAGAGCTAGTTGTGGTAAAACTGGAATGCCAATCCAGGACTGGCCGACCTAAAGCTATGCTATCTCCATGGTCCTTCCTTTGCTTCCTGGATGGCAAAAAAGAGAGTATGAATCAGTGTGCTAGGCTTCAAAATGTGGCCTTCTTTTCATTTAACTTGTGGGTTGTTCCTTTAATAGCCATCTCTGTGTGAGCCTTCATTCTCCCACATTAGATTACAAACCTGTTGAAGTAAGACCTATTTCATATAGATTATATACCTAGTACTTATATAAATTACCTGGCCTATAGTAGATACTCATTAAAGAAGAACTATTTTAATCCATTTAATCTTTTCAAGGTTTGGAGCTGTGTCATGAATTACTCTTCTTCCCATGAGTGACAGAGTACATTTTGTTGTCTTTTTTATGCTAATGCAATGTTTTGTTTATTCTGTCCATTAATAACTAATATTTGAGAACATTTACAGTATTAATGGAACTTAGTCTAAGAGAAGTTCAGCTTAACATTTTCAACATATTTCAAAAATATATCAAAAATTCTAAAAAATTATGTTAATCTACATACTTTTATGTAAAGTTCTTTGACTGTAAGATAGAACATTTGGTTTACTTCACTGATAGGAATATCTCTTAATGCTGGGATGGCCTCTTTTGGTATTTCTTCTGCTCTTAATTTTTGGCATAGTTATGTGTGATTGTTTGAATGGAGTTGTGGCCAGGTACTCATCATATTTACTCCAAATAAGAGTACATAACTGATTACTACAGTAATAAGGAGGTAGATGGGCAGTGCAACTGCCCAATACTTTTGAGGCCAGTAGGTTCAACCTAAGGAATTTGGCCAAGATTCGGGAATAAAAGCCCATACGAGATATAGTATGAAGCCAAATTCGGAGCTTAAGAAAAGAACAAAGCCATAACTTAATCTTTCTGGGAATGGGACGGTGAATTTTCCACCATTTCTCTGTGACTTTAGGTAATCAGTGTGGAGACCCTGCGCAGTCACGGACCCCCAACCCCGGAGCCCAGGGGCGAGAGAGGAAACACTGAGCGGGAGGCTCAGTGGCCAGGGCTCCCCTACCCCCCACCCCCCACCCCCCACCCCGGGCTTAGGCCACAGTTTGTTTTTATATTTTGAATTGAACTAGGTGCCTAAACTGGTTGTATAGTGAGGTTGATAATTTGTGTCTTCATGGATTATTATGCTGTTTCACTGGAAAAAGAATTAACCTTAGCTATTTTGTTTCGCTTCAGGAATTAAGTGATCTACAGCGTGACCCACCCGCTCACTGCTCCGCCGGACCTGTGGGAGACGACTGTAAGCTTTGCTTTATTGCTAGCATTTTGCTACAGTTAATAATACAGGTTCCAACATTTGCTAATAACTCCAAAACTCCTTTATTTGTTTCAGTGTTCCACTGGCAAGCAACTATTATGGGACCTGTAAGTATGATTCCTATATATGAAATTAATCCCCTCAGCCATACTTAATTCCTGCCGTTTCACCTTTGATCAAATAGTTGTGGCTCAGGTTGAATTTTCTTGTATCTGAATCACCCAGGAAGCAAAATGTAATCACAGGGTTTATGGTAATTGTCTACAGCACTGATGGCGAATACTTCTAGGATCATTGTCGTGTGTTTTCCGTTGCCAAATCCTTGATCAGTTACGTATAGTTCTGGATCACCCACAATTTGTAACCAGGCTGTGTGTTTCCTTTGTCTTTTTTTTTTTTTTTTTAACACAAAAAAACAGTGGTTCAGAACTAAGCATAATTATTCTCACATCAACAGTTTTAGTAGGTCAGAAATAAGTGTAAGTAACCCAATAATGAATTCCTACAAGTAACAAATACCAGTTTGTGCTAAGTTTTATCACTTCCTATTTGTGAGAGAGAACTGATAAAATACTGTAGTGGGTCTGTCTTTGCCACCTCATGAGTTTGCTGCTTTCAGTTTTCTTGGATTATCCTGAAGTCAAAATTACCTGCTATTTTATGAATGGCTTTCTCAACACTTAACTGCTTTTGTTAAGGTTATTTGTTTCTACATCCAAGAGGCAGTTATGACTAGAAAGAGACTTTCCTTTCTATGAGCAAAAATCCGATTGCATAAGAATGGGCACTGATAGCTCAAAGATGCCTTCCGGGAAACATAGTAACATGTTTCCATGAACATCTTTCTCTCTTCTCTTCCCCCCAAAGAGCTTTATCTTGTCTTTAACTTAAAAAAAAACCAAAACAATTACTGATTTTTCAGAGAAGGAGTACTGGGCAAGTATCTCAGTTGCTAAATTGTTAGGTTTGCCTTTTTTAAAGGGTAAAATGCAGCATATTTATTTAAACAACGTTTAAGAATCTGGTTGTTTGTTTTCCATTGCTTACTAAGAACCTTCAAAATACTATCTTTTAAAGACCCGTTCTTACCACTTGAATTATAGCCCTTCAAAAATATTTCTTAAGTGAATTACATGTAGCAAATGGTTATAATTATGTTACTCATAGTCCCTTTATTTTAGTAATGTAAACATGTTATTCTGTCATATTACTTGAAAATCTAAGCAGACCATGACTGTCAATTGTAATGTACTTATGTTTTCTACATTCCTTATTATTTTTTATGAACTAGAATTAAGCAATACGTGTAGTAAGAATAATTATACAGTGCAGTCCTCTAATATATATGCAGAAATTAAGGAAGAAGTAATGATAGGCTTGCTATTATAACCAAAATGTTAGTATAACATGATAAATTTAATTAAATATAAGGGAATTAAAATAAAATATTAGCTATTGTTTGCTACCTTTTAAAAAAAAGTATCTTTTTTCCCTCGCTTGTAGCATATTTTCTAATTGCCATAAAGATTCCTGGCCAAATGTAGATTCTTCTTGTTGATTCCTAATTTGATAATTTCATGAATATTGAATTTATCAGTTTTCTTTGGAACCTTTTCACATTATTTTACAAATTATTATTGAGTGAAGATTTGCGGTCTAAATTGTGTAATGCTGTTCCTTAGCCTATCCTTTTCATAACTTGTTCTCTTCAGTTCATCTCCATTTTTTTTTTTTTCTTAATATATTTTTGTTGATTTCAGAGAGGAAGGGAGAGGAGAGAGAGATAGAAACATTGGTGATGAGAGAGAATCATTGATCGGCTGCTTCCTGCACGCCCCACACTTGGGATCGAGCCCTCAACCCCAGGCATGTGCCCTGACCCAGGAACCATGACCTCCTGGTTCATAGGTTGACACTCAACTACTGAGCCACACCGCTGGGCTCATCTCCATTCTTGCCCCTTGGAGGACTATTAGGACTTAAGTTTCATAAATTAGAAGGTAAATACTAGCCCCAGCCCTTTTTTTCATACTGATTACTGCCACAGAAAATTATTCTTTTCTTACAGCAGTCTTGTGTGTATACTGATATTTAAAAATCTATACTCGTAAACAGATTTGATTGGGCAAGTCACACAACTGTGTGTGTGTCCTATTTTTTATTTGCTTTAACTCTATGATGTTGACATGATAATTGGAAAATCCTCCTTCATACGTGCAAAAGAAAGTCTGTTTTCAAGGTAAATGATTTGAACTTTTGACAAAATGATGGCATGTTTTTCAAACTGACATATTTTGGTGGGGAGGGGGGTCATTTGAGGTTATTAAATGAATGTAATAATCAAACACTGATGCAAATGTTTTGTGATTTCAGCCTGATAGCGCATATCAAGGCGGAGTCTTCTTTCTCACTGTACATTTTCCAACAGACTATCCTTTTAAACCACCAAAGGTATTTTTATTTTTGTGATTGATGACAAAAGGGGTATAGCCAGAGACATTTTTATTATGTCCAAGACAGGTTAGCGTGTTCAACTGTTCTGTAAAACTACTGAGTCTAAAGTATGTTTCTTACTCAAACAATTGTATTATGTTTGTAAAACAAAAGGCAGTGTCTGTTATGCTGTAAACTAGGTTCCTTTCTTTTCCTCTTCATTAGATCTCTGTAGTTTGGGTTTTATGGTCAGGAATCAGACTTTTTCATTTAGGGAATTATCTTTCCAAAGTTGACTTTTTTTTTCAGTTTTAAGTATTCAACAAGCATTTATTGAACACTTACCATGTTCTGTGACATTGGAGAATACAAAAGTAAAAAAGACCACAGGCCTTTTATTTAGTGTGGTGGGAGGGATAAAAACATGTTCTTATTCAATTTAATTTAAATTAGATCTAAAGAGGGAACAAATGATGGGGATATCAGGAGGGAGAAAATCATTAACAACTTCTGTCATTCAGGAAACAATTATTTCAATTTATTTTAATTTTTTCAAATTATAAGAAAAGCTTATTTAGAAAATTTACAGAGGTAGTAGAAGTGAGCCAGCCAGGCTGCATAGGCTTGGGAAACAAGTTACAGGAGCAAAAGACGGCCCGTGGAGCTTAGGAGAGAGAAAGGCAGATGTAACGCACCTGGGGGAGGCGGAAGGGCCAGGGAAAGGCGCCAGTGTGCTCCGGAGAGGAAGAGCAAATAATTATTTTAGATTTTTAAAAATACCTGAATAGCGTTATATACACATGAAACGGTATAACAAAAAGTCTTGTGGGAGATTAGGATTCCTGGTGGATTTCTTAGGACAGGTTACAAACTCAGGCCCCTCCACTTTCCCCCAGAACAGGGTCAGCACCCTATTTTTAGACCCTAGTCTCACTTCCAGGTATCCTTGATAAGCAAATGAAGAAAAGGATTACTTTGGGGGATCATCAAAGCCATGGTTAATTACTTCAGCTGCTACTCAGCAGTGATACCAGCTCTCATACTGCACTCTCCAAAATACTTCTCAGGTTCTTGCTGGAGGTTGGGGGTAGAGCGGTGCGGGAAGCGAGGGAGTGGGAAAACTTACTTTATCTGCTTTCACATGCCTAGTAGCTAAAACTTTGTGCACACAAAGTGGATGTTCTTTCAATTTGTGTTGAATACATTTCTCTACTAGGGTGCTAAAATTTAAAGGCATTTTACCCTAGAGTAAGTTGGCTCTGTTTTGCTCATTGTTCATGGATTGTCACATTTTTATTTTGTTTTGTGTTATATTTAGATTGCTTTCACAACAAAAATTTATCATCCAAACATAAACAGTAATGGAAGTATTTGTCTTGATATCCTGAGGTCACAATGGTCACCAGCTCTGACTGTATCAAAAGGTAATTACATTTATCAGATATATGACAACTGATAATAGCGAAACAGGAAAAATACAGAAGTATCTAAGGCCCAAAGTTTAAAAAAAACAAAACAATCTACTGTGTTTTATCCTGCTTTGATTTTGCTTTGCTTTCATAGCTCTTATATGTATTCTTTTTAGCTTTTTTTATATGTTTTTATTTATTTCAGAGAGGAAGGGAGAGGGAGAAAGAGATGAAAACATCAGTGATGAGAGAGAGTCATTGATTGGCTGCCTCCTGCATGCCTCCTACTGGGAATCAAGCTCACAACCCAGGCATGTGCCCTGACTGGGAATCAAACCATGACCTCCTGGTTCATAGGTTGATGCTCAACCACTGAGCAACACCAGCCAGGCCTCTTTAGCCTTTAACAGTTAATTTAGTGGGGGTGGTGTTGGTAAGCAAATCTAAATGATGAAGTAAGAGAAATTTAAAATGTTAGAGCTCGAAATTTGGGGATAAGCCTCTCGACATTTTACCCTTTAGTTTTAGCTTATCTTTAAGAAGAGAGAAGTAAATATATGATTCTAGGGCCCATTGTCCCATTTATTAAATGGAATTACTGACATAATGATTAAAGGTTTACATTTGTTTTCATCTAAGAAGAAATATCAGATTAGGTTGATAAAATAAATGATTTAAGACATATTTCACATTTTAGAATGATGCAGTACATCTAACATTATTCTAAACTAGTGATTTTCAATGTTTTTCATCTTACGACACACATACACTAATTATTAAAATCCTGTGGCACACCAAAAAATATTATTTTTCCTGATCTGAGAAAAAATACATATAATTTTGATTCATTCAACACAACATATTGTTGTGTTGGCTGTTGTCATTTTTTATTTGATAGTCTAAGGAAAAAGATGTCAGTGCCCCTGACTAAATAGTCTGGTATTGTGTGTTTTAAAATTCTTCAGCATACCAGTTGAAAATCACTGCTCTAAACTTTGAGTAATCAATAGCATTATCATAATGACTAATACATACGCCATGTAGATTCTTAAAGTAATCTGTAACATTGTTCTTTGCTAAATTATCAGATGGGTACATCTGAAGCCCTTTTTGTTTTTTTAGCAAATACTATTTGCTGTGTGAATCCTCTTAATTCAAGTCTTGTTTCTCTAAACAGAAGAGCACCTGACAGTTGGCAAATATTGTTTTGAGTTAGAAGCATCTGCCTCTGAAGTAACTTGGTAGATTTTCCTTTTATAAAATTCAAGAAAATTGTTTCTCTTGAAGGATTCACGGAGAGATCCATGGTCATTTAAAAATTAAAACAAAAGAAATATATGCTATCTGAATATATGACTTGTTTTTAAAAGTGATGAGGTTTATAGGAAACAGAGTCTACAACCATAATTTTTTCAAGTATTAGGTAAATAATAGCCCTTTATGTCAGTTAGTTATTTGTAAATGGAAGTTTTTCTGACCTAAAATGTTTGTATAAAATGTTGATGGATTCCATTGTCCTTTAAAAAATCTTACACATGGTAGTGTAGCTGTTATGCACTAGATGTAGGAAAGAGTCTATGTCAAATGGTTACTCAAATTCATATGTTCTTTCCTGGAATGGTATCGGAAAATATAATTCATTTGGCATAAGCAGGTAACACTTACACATATACTGGTAAAAGAAATGGCAGACTGCCAGATGTTGAACATTTATCTTCTGATATTGGTAGCTTTTTATAAAGAGCTAGGAGCCTGCTGCATGAAATTCGTGCACTGGGGGTGGGTGTTCCCCCTCAGCCCAGCCTGCCCCCTCTCACAGACTGGGAGCCCTCAGGGGATGTCCTAATGATGGCTTAGGCCCGTTGAAAGTGGGCCTAAGCCGCAGTCTGACCTTCCTCCATGGGAGGTGACCTGGCTGATTAGGGGAAGGTGCTAGCCCTATCGCCCTGCTGCTGCAGCCACTGTCAGCCACTGCAGCTGCCAAGGTGTTTTCATCAACACGGACTCCAGTCCCTTCACCATGAAAAAAATGACAACTTTCTTTAGGCATTTTCAAGATGTTTCTTTCATAGGATATGACATTTCTTTCTTTTTTTTTTTTTTAATCCTCACCTGAGAATATGTTTCCATTGAATTTTAGAGAATGTGGAAGAGAGAGAAAAGACAGAGAGAAACATCAATGTGAGAGGGACACTTTGATTGGTTGCTTCCTGCATGAGCCCTGACCTGGGCCCCGGCCAGGGAGGAGCCTGCAACCTAGGTACATGCCCTTGATCAGAATCAACCTGGACCCTGCGGTGGGCAGGCTGAGGCTCTGTCCACTGAGCCAAACTGGCTAGGGCAGTACATGACATTTCATAGCCCTCCAGCAGCAGACCTTCATTTTTTCCTCTAGGAGTGAGGTAGAAAAACCCTAGATCACCTTTTTGGATTCTTGTTACCCAAGTTACCAAGAGCATTACCAGTGGCGTACAGGGAGCTTAGCCAATGAACTGTCAGAAAAGGTATTTCCCCTGCAGCTCACCCGCAGAGGCAGGACTGCTGGCAAGCCTAGGCTGGCACATCCCCTATCTCCGCAACTGCTCAAGCCTCCAATGCGGCTTAGGCAGGGCCCCTCAGCTCTGCTCAAGCCTCTGCCCAAGGCTTGGGCAAGACCACCTTCCCTCCCCTCCCCTCTGCTCAGGCCCTGCTTTAGCCTCTGCCGGGGCTTGGGTAGGATTCCCCCCAGCTCCGTTCAAGCCTCTGCCGCGGCTTGGGCAGGGCCCTCCGCTCCTCTCTGGCCCTGCTCAAGCCTCTGCTGCCCCACCCCCATGGCGCCAAGGTCAGTAGGCCAGGAGTGGCCAGGGGTGTTCTGGGACCAAGGTCGCTCAGGGCCTATGCTGGGACCTGCAGGCTCTGAGTTGCCTGGGTCCTTAGGATGTTCCCAGGACCTAGGCCACTGGGTGCCTGCATATGCAAATTAACCTGTCATCTTTGTTGGGTTAATTTGCATACCCACTCCTGATTGGGTGGTGGGTGTGGCTTGTGGGTGTATCCGAGGTACGGTCAACTTGCATGTTTCTCTTTTATTAGATAGGATAATTAGTATTGACTGCTACCGAGTGTTCTGGGTGCCCTCGCTTTCTGGTAGCGGTGGGGAGCTGGTGGCCGCGGCCTTTCGGGCTGGGATGAACCGCGCTCTCGGTGGAGGCAGGAGGGCCGAGCCGGAGCCATGGCCAGTACTGTGATAGCAATTGGATTGACCATTGCTGCTGCAGGATTTGCAGGCCGTTATGTTTTGCAAGCCATGAAGCATATGGAGCCTCAAGTGAAACAAGTTTTTCAAAGTCTACCAAAATCTGCCTCCAGTGGTGGCTATTACAGAGCCCTACTGCCAATAAAGGAAAAATAAGAGATGCTCACTGACGAATTATGCTTTTAAATCACCCAGACAAGGGAGGATCTCCTTATATAGCAGCCAAAATCAATGAAGCTAAAGATTTACTAGACGGTCAAGCCAAAAAATGAAGTAAATGTATGGTGAATTTTAAGTTGTTAATCATGTATATGAAAACAGCTTTTTATAATAAATGTCCTGAAGCTACACATTTTAAAAATGATTTAGCACAAACTAAAAAAATAATAATAATAATTAGTATTGATGCCTTCTGGTAACCGTCTTCAGTAACAGTTTCAAATGGCCTCAGTTTCCTCATCTGTAAAGTGGGAATTATAATAATATAGGGTCACTCTGCACCTGACACACAGTAAGCACACAATGAGTGTCAACATTCCGTTTTACTTATCTTAAAACATTTGATTTTGTGCATAATAGTGAAATCAGGGCTTATGTCTGGGCAGCAGGCCTGTGGAGATGAGGAACTTGCCTCTTGCTCATTTTGTAAGGTAGCTTATACCTGCTACCTAAAATACAGCTATTTTAATGTCTTATTTTAAATGTCTTATTTTGATTTTTATCTGGAAACTTTTTGGAGACATTAGCCTAGGTTTAATATACAATGGAAGCTAAGGAAGATAAATTAAATATTAGTTTTAATATTAGTGCTCTTAGCACCCACTTTGCGTGTCATGTAAGAATCAGCTTTGCTTTATACATTCACCTGTGGAATTTGAAGAATAGGAAAAGATAAGGGAGCATAGTAGAGGAGGCTGAAGATGCAAGGTTGTTCCAAAGATTCCACGGACCCCCTCAGAAGTGGTGGCATGCAGTTGAGGCAAAAGAGGAACCAGTCTTGTTCCCTCTTTTTTCAGATACTTAGATTTGTGTGTGTGTGTGGCTATTTGTATTAGTATTTGATGTAATGTGGCAAGAAACAACTACTTTTAAAATTTTCATCTATATTTAAAAATATACAAGTTACAGAGTAACTATTCACATTGTTTTTCCATGCATGCGATACAAATAATATACGTGGAATAAAAGAGTTGTTGAGAAAAATCTTACAAATCTTCCTTCTTTGTGGACACTGTATATCACTAAGCCAGAGTATAAAAGTACATGAGCACAATGTCCGAATGGTTTGGACTATTAACTGTAATTTGATTGATTTACCTTGAATTGATTAGAACACAGATTTTCTGTATTAAAAATAGAATAAAATGGACAGTTTTCTCTACAGAAGTATCTCTAAGAGACATCTAAAGTTAGGATGCTATTCTGAAAAGTTTTTTATTATGTATCATTTGGGGTATGTGTGTGTTACCAAAATATTTTTGTAGAAAACACTTGAGTTTAAAGATTATAATAGCTACTTTAGAGGTCCACATTTTTAAAATAAATAGAAATTCAAATAGAATTTAAACCTTTAAAAATTATAATTTTGCATATTATGTATACAATACGGTAATTTTATAATTTTAAAAATTAAAAATACTTGCTACCAGCTATAGTCTAAAATGTAATTTAATGTTTTGTTTTCTTTGTAAGTTAATTGTCTATATTCAATGAAATTATTTCCACATATGTAATTGTATAAAGAAGAAAGATCATTATCTAATATGGTATTCTCTTTTCGATATAGTTTTATTGTCCATATGTTCTCTACTTTGTGATCCTAATCCAGATGACCCCTTAGTACCAGATATTGCACAAATCTATAAATCAGACAAAGAAAAGTAAGTATTACCAATATATTTAATAAGTACATTTAGTTATGCTTATTATACTTAACATTGATTTTGTTTTTCTTTCCAGTGTAGTAAACCTTTCTTTTTAAACTCTGTTTTTTTACAAAATAAAATCTTGTTCTTTTTCACATACTGTTCAATCCTTTACTTTTTAAGAGTACACATTCTGTATTTGCACAGTAGGTTATGTTTTTGGTAGGGAAGAATGATGTATAATTCTAGGGAGTAAATTTAAAAATGAAAGAATTTGGTGATTGGGAAGTGTTGGATATTATATTCCTAATCTCCCAGGAAAAGAAGTTATCCCTAACCCACCCAAACTGACCTAGTTTTCAAGCTGTTTCATCTTACTGATACCATTGATTCATTTGCAATTTACAAATAATGCTCATTGCCCTTTATAGATTATTACCATAAATTGTTTTCTTTTTCATTTTGTTATTTATAATTTAGGTATGTTTTCATATAGGTTGTAGACAAATCCATCAGGTAAAAATTTGACTTAAGTTTTCTGTTTTATTTATGCATAAGGCGAAGTCACGTTGAACCAATAATTGGTATAAGTATGATTACTGCAAGTAAGCATGGGAGGGTAGAGTATACTGTTTTATGTAGATAGATCTTCTACAAGATTCAATTTGTATGTTTTTACTGTATCCCTTTTGTATGCCTACAGATACAACAGACACGCAAGAGAATGGACTCAGAAATATGCAATGTAAAATAAAAATAAATTTCATATATACCAGAGTACTGTAAAATCTAGGTTTTTTTCAATATTAACAGTAAATTGAGCACTGTTTACTGTTTCATTGTATCATGAAATCTTTTGATTTTTATCCATTTTAAATGTATTTCTGAAGCAAGACTAAACAAACTTCCAAAAATACCCTTAAGACTGTGATGAAAGTCTTTTTGTATGCATTGAGAAAGACATTTATTATGGATTTTAAGATACTTGGACATCTGCATCTTCAGCTTACAAGATCTACAAAACATCTGAAAAGTAACCAAATTATTTTTTGCTGAAATTAGATGTTTTTACATGAGAAATACTGTATGTGTTGTCTGTGTCGTCAGTTTTATAAATCTATTCAGATTTCATTCTTTGTTAGCTCACTTTATAATTTGTATTTTTTTACTGTATAGACTAAATATATTCTATTTACATGTATGTCAACTCATTACTTTTTTCCTGTGAACAGTATTGAAAAAAACCGAACAGCTGATAATTAAATGAATTAACTGTCTGTCTCCCTTGTCTTAGGGTTTTCTGTGTAGATCAATTGCAGATTTCTTAAACCTGAATGATCTTTACACTGTAATTCTCAGTATACTGATTATGGAGAAACACTTGTTTTGATTTTGTTATACTTGACTTAACTTTATTGCAATGTGAATTAATTGCACTGCTAAGTAGGAAGATGTGTAACTTTTATTTGTTGTTATTCACATTTGAATTTTTTTCTGTATAGGCAATATTATAATGACACCTTTTACAGATCTTAATGTAGCTTTTCCATATAAATAAAATGCTTTTTCTACTACTTGTCTTGATTACTTAAAAAGATAAAATAATACTTTATAAGTAAAGGATCAAAACTCTGTTAAATTTTGCATGAAAATTAATTCCAAATTGTGAGACTAAGGTCTGTTGATTTGGCTAATTAACCACCATTAGTTATATAAATTTTATTGCTTTAGCTTTTTATCTGTTCACTAAATTGTCAGTCTAAAGGTGATATAGATTGGTCCCTTGTTATAGAAGAGAATTTAAAATAAGTTAGGGTTTGTCTTGGATCACAACTAAAATGGATTAATTACTGAAGTACTAAGATGTGTGTGTATAAGATAGTGTCACCCACACTGAAGAAAAATCTGTATAGACCTGAAGAATAAGTAGGTTAATTCATTAAAATACCACTCTAGATGTAACTGACATTGCATTTCTTCACATTTTAAAATTATAATTTCCAAAATAGAATTTTAGTGCCATCCACTTTGAAAAAGAGCATCCTTTTTTTTTCTTTTTCTTTTTTACTATAGAAATTAGGGCAAAAATTCTAAAATGATGCTTCTCCTGGCTTTATAAATTGCCAGTAAAAAGTAGTTAAATAAGCAGGTTATCTTTGCAGATATTAAAGAAAGCTTGAAAGTATTTTAACTTGGGAAAAATACACCTCTAATTATTAGCATGTTTACTAAACTTGGGTGAGTGTCATTTTTAAGAAGAGTGATAGCTCTTCTGATTATGCGGTAGCTATATAAGTGTGCAAGAATCTGTGACGGATGTAGTCATTAGCAAGACATTTAAATCACTGAAGTATTTTACCATGGTTCATTATTATTAAAACACAGAATAACCCGTTGTTAGAAAGTGTGTTTTTATAAATGAATGTAAAATATTTAAATGAATTGTGAAATGGATGTTTAAGAAAATATAGGTTTAAAAGTAATTATATTAAGTGATGTCTTGAAACAGGCATATTATGAAGAACACTCCCAGTTATATTATTATAAGCTGCATTCTCCCAAAATTTGAACACTCAACATCATTAGATTTTAGTATTTAGGATATTTTGATAGGGATTTTGTTTCATGAATATCTTACACTTTTTTATAAACTTTCATTTGTGTGGCATTTATTTTTGGAAGTGTCTTTTTTTTTCTTTATTAAAGTTTTTGAAACTTGCCTAACTCTTGTTTGCCTTTGCTTACATCTGAATGGTACAGCCAGACTCCTGAGGAGTGAGCACAAGTTCTTAACTAAAATGTTCGGAGTTCATCGGTGGCATAATGATCAGTCAAATCACCATTTGGTACATTGCTTTTGCTTAATTCTAACAAAGAGTACACCAGTTAACGTTTATAACCGTAAACCCCAAGCCAGGGGCCTTCCTCCACAAACCATTAACTGAAGGACCTCCTTAGAGTGAAAGAAATGAGTAGTCTTTTGGAGATTTGGGATCCTACTCGAAGTCCTGGATGCTCCGCGATCTAGTCGAAAGCTATAGTTAAGCCCTAGCTGGTTTGGCTCAGTGGACAGAGCGTCGGCCTGCATACTGAACAGGGTCCTGGGTTCGATTCTGGACGAGGGCACATGCCTGGGTTGCAGGCTCAATCCCCAGTAGGGGATGTGCAGAAGGCAGCTGATCAATGATTCTCTCTCATCATTGATGTTTCTATCTCTCCCTCTCCCTTCCTCTCTGAAATCAATAAAAATATATTGAAATGAAAAAAAAAAGGAAACTATAGTTAAATTGTAATTGACCCATACACTCAATCAGCAAGACAGTTTGTAAGGGCAACCTCACCCTCATCCCCCAACTATCTTCAAAGCATATGATTTCTGAAATATGGGTTTTACACATGCCTATGTAAACCATGTATTACTAATTTTTGCTTTAAATTACCCACCCATCCCCACCCCAACTGCCCATCCTACTATTAATTTTGTTAGGGAAAATTAAAATTTTTATTTTTAAATCAGCTACTGATCAATTTCAAAGGTTCAACAGGTATTAAGTAGACACACATAAATAGTACACAAGGCAACCCTAAGAATATTTATGAGTGACTTTTAAAAAAACTTGATAGAAACAGTACTACATATCGTTTTCATTGCTCTTATTATTACAACTAGAAGCCCATTGCAGGAGGATTCCTGCAAGAATAGGGCTTCCTCCCGCCGATCGCTCTGCCAATCGCCACAGCCCAGGGACACAGATGGGGGTCCCGCCTGCCCAGGGCCTCACACGGGGGTCCAGGCTGGGGGCGGGGCTTAGGCAGCCCATTCATGCTGCCACCCAGGGCCGCACACAGGGGTCCCGGCTGGGGGTGGGGCTTAGGCGGCACACAGGGCCCAGATGGCGGCTAGCACTGGCTTGCCCTGCCTGCAGTATGCAAATTAGCCACCATCTTTGTCGGTGGTTAACTTGCATATCACACTGATTAGCCAATGGGAAGCGTAGCGAAGGTACGGTCAATTACCATGTTTGTCTATTAGGTAGGATGATCCATTTATCTTTGTACATTATTCAGTCATTGATGTTTCACAGGATCCTGCCCTCTCACAGTTCTGTATTTTTTTAAATAACGTTTTTATTTTTCAATTACGGTTGACATACACTACTATATTATTTTCAGATGTTTAGCCCAGTTATTAGACATTTAAATAACTTATGAAGTGATCACTCTAGTAAATCTAGTACCTATCTGACACCATTTTAAAATGGAAACATTAGGGCACATACCTCGCTCCCAGGCTCAATCCCTGCTCCCAGGCTAAATCCCCAGTTGGGGTGCATGCAGGAGGCAACTAATCAATGCGACTCTCTCACATCTATGTTTCTCTCTGTCTCTCCCCATCCCTTCCATGCTCTCAAAAATCAATGGAAAAATATCCTCGGGCGAGGATTAGAAAAGAAAAAGGAAATGGGCAAATTCTTTTCTCTAAGATTAAAAGAAATTCCTGGTCTTCAAGCTATTTATATAATGTTTATTTATTAGTAGTCAACTTGAAATAGACTCAAAATCCAGCCCAGTGAATGATTTAAAATTTGAGTTCTGCAGTAGAATCATCAGTCCTATTACTTATTCTTATTAGGACCAACCACGGAAAATGTGATTAGTGCTTTAGCCGTGACCATATAAACAGGGCTTCAGTGGATTCAAACTGTTGACCTTGGTCTGTTAAGATATAACAGAGCACTGCTTTTTTTAAAAAAAAAGTTTATTTACAACTTTCAAGTGATTATTAAAACAATAACATCTGAATGTTTAGAGTTCAGTTCTATAACTATTAACTGTAAACTAGAACTTTCAAAAATATTTTCTTTAAAGCAGAAGTTTAATTGCAATTTAAAAGCCCTAAAATGTAATGCAGGTTATTTGTGAAAGTTCTCGTTTTTTATAGGGCTTCTCTTTTCCTGTTATGACAGTTGTATGATACAAACATAAGGCAGCAGGTAGAGATTCATCTCATTTCACTTGTGAAAAATCCTATGCATTGTCATTTCTACTCTTTTTGATATGGAGTGATAGCTACAAACTTCCCTTAAACTGTAATTGATGCACTTTCACCAGGAGTTTTTTTGGGAGTGGTGGTAACTGGACATGAGTGGGCAGCTGATATTTTTGGTTGTAGAAATCAATTGTAATGTATTAGTCGTGGTGGTTTTATGTCACATGGAAATTTCTGCTCCCATTGTCCTGTTATGTTAGGAATGTGTTTTTAAGGTATAAATGAACTGAACTAATAAAAAGAGGGAATATTCACCCAAAATTACTAGCATTTGGGGGTATTTTTGTATAATAAGATACATTTCTTTAAAAATTTATTTTAACACTCCCTTAGGTTCTACTGTTCTAGAGGGAGGGACGTGCCTTTCTTACCTCGGGAGGAAGCTGTTTTTATTGGCACAAGGTCCGAGCTATGCTTTCCCCATATCATGTACGTGATTGTTTAAGCCCCCTAGTGCAAAAGATCATTGTGAGTTTGTATGAAATATTTTATATGTAAAGTGAGGAACAGATAACACCACTTGTGTTATCACTTCAGATACACTTGTCTTGGCCGTCCCACAACCATCCATGCATTCATTATGTCCGTAGAAGAATTCGCAAGACTAAGCATATGGTCGCACTCACAGTTTTATTTATTGTAGTGACACAGCAAAGACACACAGCTGGATGGGTCAGTAACGGGAACGGAGATAAGGCAGAGTCTGGAGGAATCCATGTGCAGGCTTCCTATGTTCTCTCCGAAGAGGCACAGAGAGGGACTCTGAAATGCAATAACACAGCACAGTGTTTCTGTCCAGGAAAGTCTGTTTGAGATGCTAAGTCCAGGTTTTGTTTTTTGGTGGTTTTTGGGGGGGGCAGGGGGACGGTCCGGGCAAGGAGGGACTAAATCATGTAGATAGTCTGCCCTTCAAAATTCTAATCTTTCAGAAGAAAAGTGTTCCTCATAAGTCATATTATTTAAAACATCTATAGTCAGCACAGCAGACACAATGCCACATAGGGAAAGTGACAAAAGCCAAGTTCCTAGATGCCAGCTGAGGGCCAACCTGGGAAGCAAAGCCTTCTAAAGGTCAGGTCTGCGCCATTTGTTGAAAAGACAAATCTTTCCCCCTGAAAGGTCTTGGTACCCCCTTCAATGAGGTTTATAAACCCCCTTCATAGAGGTTTATCTCTGGACTCTCAGTTCTATTGATTTCTACACCTTATGCCAGTACCAAGCTGGCATTGATTATTGTAGCTTTGTAGTGACTTTTGAAATCGAAAGGGGTGGGTGTTCCAACTTTGTTCTTTTACGATATTGTGTCGACTATTCCAAATGTATTTTAGGATTGCATTTGCTAATACTTCGTTGAGGATTTTTGCATCTATGTTCATGAGAGAAGTGGTATGACCCACAATGCAAATATTTGGATTGTGGTGCCCACCAAATGAAAGCTGAATCAACTCAATATCATGTACAATAATAATTATGGGCATTTCCTTCCATTGAACCTGATCATCCAGACATACTTAGAGGCTCAAAGAGGCTGCTTCTGGGCAGTTTAACATTCTCAGGATACTTTGTGTCTTGATTATTTCCCTTAGCCACACATGGCCATGAATGCTTCTTTAAAAAATATATGTATATTTTTTATTGATTTCAAAGATGGAGGGAGAGGGAGATGGAAACATCAATGATGAGCGAGAATCATTGATCAGCTCCTCCTGCACATCCCACACGGGATCGAGCCCACATCTGGGCATGTGCCCCAACCAGGCATCACACCATGACCTCCTGGTTCATAGCTCGACACTCAACCACTGAGCCACACTGGCCAAGCCAGTTTGTCATTTTTTAATATCTTTTTAACAACCAGCTTTTAGTTTCATTGATTTAAAAAAAAAATTATTTTCTGGTCTGTATTTCATTTACTTCTAGTCTTTGTTACTTCCTTCCTTCTGCTAACTTTGGACTTAGTTCCTCTTTTTGTAGTTTCTTGAGGTGTAAAGATGGGTTGTTTATTTGAAGTCTTTCTGTTGTGTAAATATACACATTTATCACTATAAAATCCCCTCTTAGAACTGTTTCCATTTTTGTTAACTTCAGATATTTTAAATTTTCACGTTTGTTTTCTTTTGACCCTTGGTTTTTCAGGAGTGTGTTGTTTATTTATAAATCTTTGTGAATTTTCTAGCTTTCTTCCTGTTATTGATTTCTAGTTTCATACTATTGTGGTCTAAGATCCTGGGTAAAATTTCAGTCTTCTGAAATCTGCTAAGATTTATCTTGTGACCTATCATGTGATCTATTCTGGACGATGTTCTGTCTGGAAGATCTATTTATTATGTTGAAAGTGGTGTTTTGAATTCCTCTACCATCTTTGTATTGTCCATTTCTCCCTTCAGATCTGTTAGTGTTTGCTTAATATATTTATATACTCCAGTGTTGGGAGCATATGTATTTCAGATTGTTATATATTCTTGATGAATTTACCCCTTTATCATTATACAATGAC